ATCAGATGTATTACTGCAATTTTGCATCTTTATAATAGAATATAAGCCATTAATATAATTTCTTTTTGAGAAAGAACACTACACATTCTAACATCATAATCATAAGTAACTTGTTTCAAAAAAGTTAGGTTTATGCAATTGGCAATCCCACACATTCAGAAATGAAGCCTGCCACTAACAAAAGTAAGGCGTGCTGTTTTTTTTTTTTTTTGGGAGCAAAAAAGTGAGGCGTGCGGTTAGTATTATTATCACAAAACCAAATATTTGTGAAGAATATAGGGGCCCCCACCGGCGTTATGGTGGGCCCATTTCTTATCCCATCAATTTGCTTCTTACAATTTACCTACTCTCTGCTCAATTATATGTGGGCGCATACTTGTCCAAGACATGCCCTTAACGTGTTCTCTGTATTTTGTTTTATTGGCTTTCGTCATTATTCATTACTTGAAGTTTTGGCTTATCGGACTTTTTTGGCCTCTTCGAATTGGAGGCTTCAGCTGTAAAAGTGACTCATAAATTCAAGTAAAAAAAAAAAAAAACAACCCAGTGCCTATCAAACTGGTAAGGAATTGTTTTAACTTAGTAAGTGATCTTAAATTCGAGCCTTATGATAGGGCCTGCAATGCTCGATCTAAATTAGTCTAGATCTCTATTAAATTCTCTCAACTTAATGTGGGATAGGCATAAGTAATTAAGTATCATGTGCACAAGCAATAAAAAAATTTAAGTCAAAAACTACGTGAGAATATTTCGTGGGCGCCTTATGTGTAACGACGTAAACGAAGTTCACCGGCTACTTGAAACTCCCTGGTTGAGATAAGGTTGTACTAGCTGATTCTTTTTTAATTTTTTTTTTCGGGAATAAAAAAATTCTTTTTTCCATGGTTTAAAAGTAAAGATAGATTTGATTTATTGTCACACGTCTATTCATCAGCGTGTCTAAGTTTGTCTCCGTATTTTTCCCTCAAGATAGTAAAATAACTCGTTCCGTTTGATGGGTGGGGATGGATGATCTTCTAGAAGGGTGGGTAAAAATCCGTATCGCAAATGGGCATGGCATGAGCTAATCATATGATTATCCTTCTAGAAGACGCCCACAACAATCTTGAGGCGTATCTCCTCCTTTTAACAACGGAAAGTCTCGTTTCGACACAGCTTCGTCTCTTTCGCTAAAAGCGTCCCCTTACGATGCACTTTATGTGCATACAAAATCTGCAGAACTCTGCATAATCGTTCTCGTTCCCTTCCATTTCTAAGTCTTGTGCAAGATGGGCATGAACGGCACGGTAGATGTATCTTGTTACCTGTGTTTTGAAGCCACAGGGGATTCTGAAGCCCCCAGTGACCCCATCAAGGATCCTAATATTGCTTGTCGAATTCCCATATGTGATGATGATTATGATGATGATGATGATGCTCAGTCTTGCTGCTACGATGCATCTGAGAGTCTCAGTTCTGACGAACTCTTCAATGATGAAGTGAAGAAAGAAGATGAACATGAAGATGAGTTGGAGGTTTGTGTTCATGAAGCAACACGTGAAGAAGAAGATGATGATGAAGATAGTGAGATGCAAGAACAGAAAAAGGTAAGCGTGTGTGTGGATTCAGGTGCAGAGAAGGTGGATGAGATGGAAAAGAACAGACTCTTCTGGGAAGCTTGCTTGGCATCTTAAACTCCACCCGATCATCTGACACGTGTTTGTGGCTTGTATTGTATAATTGGTTCATGGGCTCTTTCAAGAAGGCGTTTGGTGGATTGAATCTATGGGAGTAATCGGTAAGATCCCTCAATTTTATGTAATTTTCTGAACAAATGCAACCCAACTGTATATATTTGATGGAGATAATTAATAACAGCCCTGGGCTTCTTTCATTTGGTTGATTTTTTATCAATTATATGTTAAACAGGTTTTTTACTATTTTTTATTGGCTTAGTTTATTTTTAATTATTTTTTTTCTTGTCCAGACAACTTTAGCAAAAAAAAAATTAAGATTAAGGATGTTTCTTTTATTTTTTTAATTCAGATGTCTCTGATTTACTCAATCGCACCAGAAATTTATACTATCCTTCAAAAATTTTTTTTAAAAAAAGCTATTGATATAAGGGAAAATTACACATAGATCCCATAAAAAAAACTTATTTAAAGATAAATCTTAAAAATTTTTGAAATTACAGTTAAATTTTTTGAAACCTAAGTGTAATTTGCAATTTACGTGCAAATACAATATTATCCATGCTTATTAGATTACAATAACAAAGATATCCCTCTACTTAATTAAACATTATGCTCACTCTCTCCCATCCATGATTGCTCTGTTGCTATCGTTCTTCTCCTTCATTAGTCCATCTGTTCTACTTTGTTCATTGCTATTGTTCTTCTCGTTCATCAGTTCGTCCTTGTTCTGCAAGATTCCTCGCTTGCCTTCACTTTCATCACCTTCGCCTCTGTTGCTTGCAAGGTTCATCACGCACCGTTCATCTTCCTCTCATTTGAGGTTCGTGACTCCACCTTCAGTAATGAGCGAACAATGTGCGATGGCTAGGGCAGAGTAATAACGGGAGAGGGAGAGATAGAGTTTTTTCCTGAAACAGTTTGATTATTTTAATAAAGGCAATGTTGTCTTTCAATTATAATTATGAATTACACTTAAATCTTAAAAAACTTAGCTGTATTTTTTGAATTTTGCGAGACTTATTTTTAAATAAGTTATTTCCATGATACCTATATGTAATTTTTACTTTATATAATTGCGAGGATGACCTATAGTTTCCAAGGGGATGAATTAATTTAAATTAAGTTACAATCAATTTCAAAGAGTCAAATTTTAGAGATTTGCAAGTTTAGCTCTTAATTTTGTAACTTTATTATGATGAATTTTTAATTTATTTTTTAAATTTTAACATGGTTGAAGAATAAATAAATTTATTTTTCTTGTTAAAATTTAAAATACAATTTTCAAATTTATCACAAAAAAATTTTAAAATTGAGAGTTGAACTTATAAATTCTTAAAGTTTGACACTTTAAAATTGATTAAAACTTAATTTAAATTAATTGATCCCCTTAGACTTATTTATTATTCTCCCTATATAATTAATGGAGATTGAGTTTATGGAAGGATCAGCCCCTTACAAAGTGATGAATTAAAATTTAAATCCTGCTTGAATTTATATTTAGTGTCTGACTTTGTTTTGAATATGATTTATTTTGATAAATTGTTTGGCCTAATAGATTATATATATATATATATATTTAAAGAAATGACTTTTTTGAGTTTAAAAGGGTATATTTGTAATTTGTACCTCGCACTATCTGATAATGAATTTTTTATTAAACATACATAATTGTAGAAGTATGTCGATTGTTTTTTGATTTAACGTTTTTATATTTTATAATTTAAGCATTTAAAAAGATAAATACTGTGTGTGTGTTCACTTCAATGGCCCCAGGAGTTTCCACATCAGAAATTACAACCTCCGAGTGTCCGACCACCCACCGACACCAACTTAAATGGAGGTACAACTTTAGAAATTTGTATCCCAAGCCAGTAAAGTAAAACGTGCTAATATTTTAAATTCTGCATAGGTGACATATTTTAGAATAAAAGTGTAAATTTAGTTATAAATTATTTTTTGAGAAGTATCTGGTAACCTAAACTATTAAATGATGCAAAATAAATTACGAATTTTAAAAAATAGAGCATTCAGTAGCCCACCGTTAATTTCAACTAACGGACGTTATGTGGGACTCACAATGACACGTGACACAATATGGGCGCGCACGTCAGCATGGTAAATGTGCAAATTTAGTTACGAATTATTTTTCGAGGAACGCTAGCTAACCTCTATTATAAAAAAGCAGATCATCTAACACCTTCCTCTCAATTTTGACCAAACCCTATTTATTTTCATATTAATGAGACTCTCAAAGCATTAATCTCTTCATCTTCTTGCCTTCGTTCTCAATTTCAACTTGAGAAGAAAATGTTTAAAGAGTTCTTATTTGAAGATATTCACAAAAACGACGCTAACAAAGTAGAAAAAATAATTCATAACTAAATTAAGCTAAAATCAAGCTTTTCTCATGCATAGTAAAATCAAGCTTCTACTTCATTGACATCGTCCTTGTAAATGTCTTCAGATAAAAACTCATTAAACCTCTTCTTCTGGAGTTTATATTGAGAACGAAGGCAAGAATGTTGGAGAGATTAATGCTTTATGGGCCTCATAAGTATGAAAATAAATGGTGTTTAATCAAAATTGAGGGAGAAATGTTGGATAATTCATTTTTTATAGTAAAGGCTACCCATGCTCCTAAAAACATAGTTCGTGGCTAAATTTGAACCTTTACCATGCTGATGTGTCGCGCCCGTGTCATGCCACATGTTATTGTAGGTCTCACATAACGTCCGTTAGCTTAAGTTAATGGCAGACTACTGGATATTCCGTTTTTAAAAGTTCATAATTTATTTTGTATCATTTGATAGTTTAGGCTACCAAATGCTCGTCGAAAAATAATTTGTGACTAAATTTACTACTTTACCCTATATTTTATTCAAATTGTTCAAATGAAATATAGATGATCTGTTCAAAGGATTGGAGTAGGGGAAAGAATAGTGTGTAATTTCTATTTTTCTTTCCAACTCCTTATCCTTTTCTCCCTTTTCGGCTCTCTCGTAAGGCATCGAGTCGAATTTGTCGCTGCCAATTAAAAAGAAAATATGGGAAGAAATTACGTGTTTCAGTCAAGTTAGTTCCTACCAGTCGCAGATGGTACGATTGAAACAGCAAGTCAGTTCCTACTAGCCATGTAGGTCTCACATGCCACTGCTTGATTATTGAGAAGAAAATTAGGGAGCTATGACGACTTATGGTTTGGTTGGACTTGTATTAAAATACAGGATCTTTTTAATGGGAATAAAAGTGGGGATGCCCCAAACGATAAATTTACTTAGGAGAAAGGGAGGGATGGTATATGATTCCCAAATTCTAACCGTGGTATGCTTAAACATGAAGTGGAATCCATTAAATTATAATTATACGTAGCGTACATAGCACATCCATCTCAGGCTGAAACCCAGCTTTCACCTTTCTCAAATATGAAGATGTTGCTACCCCTTAAATAGTGCAGCCTATCCCCATCTCAACTTAATCTGTCATGGTTAGAATACTTGAGAACTGGAACATACAGAAGTCAGGTTCAGCCCTGAACTGAACACGACCCTTCACACAATCCACATCAACCAGACATTTCCTACCCCCTTGTATTAATTTACACAAGCAAGCCCTGCTGCTTGTAAAGACAAAATCTGAAACAAGGTCCTCAGACACTACTAAACAAAAATTTAAAGTTCCTAATTGGAGGTAAACATTGGCACAGGTGAAACAGAACCTGTAAATGTAACCATAATCTCCACATCATTGCTGCCTGTACATCCTAGTGATGGACTGTTTGTAACTTTTGATCCCCCGGCAGTCTGGGTTGTCCTTGATTTTTCACCATGAAAGCAACTCAAGCAAGAATTCTCGGTTTTGGTATCACTAAATGACATAGCAGTTCCTATGTTACTGCCAGAGTGACTTATGGGGCTAGCACAGTCCTCCAGCACATCTCCTGCAGGTTCTTCTGAGTATTCTTTTGGGTGCTCATCCAACTGCTTCAAGAAGCATTCCTCTATGTCACTTAAAGATTCGGCACCACCTTCTTCTTCTTCGCTGCTGTGGCTGTAGTGAGCATGTTCATCATAATCTGACTTGGTTCCTCTTAATTCTCCGCTGGTCTCCATTTCTTGCTGGCTGTCATATCCATCCTCAGACTGGCGCTCTGATGAACGGAATGACATGGGTGAATATCCTCCTGTTGTTGTTTCTTCACGCTCTCTAAGTGCTTTCATTATCAAGGTCTTCAGCAAGTTCATCACTTGGACCGCGTGCATCAGAGCAGTTAATGGATCAGACATCTGTCACAGATGGTCAAAATCAAACAGGCAAATTAAGAACAGGTGATTTCCAAGTGTTCATGCTTCATAGTAGTTCAAACATGCATGTAGGAGAAGAATCACAAGTCTGCTAGTATGTAGAAGGAGGGGAGTGTGTTTTATTGATTAGGAAGACAAAGGTGTGCGTGCACAGACATACCTGCGTCATGTTTGGAGCAAAGACCATTGCAATATTTCTTGCATTCATTTTGTTGAATTCTTCCTCCTCTACAACATCAGCCATGAGATCAATAGCCCAGTTGAGCAAGGCAGCCTCAGTTGGTTTGAGCTGTTTCACGAGCTCAACAGATTCTTCTTCTGTGTTGCACTGAAGAACCTGTTCAGGTGAAAGTCCATCCAGTACTCCTGAAGGAAGCTCTCGAAACCAGGCTTTAATTAAGCCCGCCAAACAGTGGACATCAATGTCATCCGGCACAATCCCCCGATTCAACTGGTCTCTCACATGTTCTTCTTGACTATTTTCTGGGTTTATGCGAAATATTCCTTCCCGCTGAAAAATCATTGAAGTCAAATAGAGATACTTTATCTCATGTTGAATGCTTGCAATTGAAACATTTTAGTGCTATGAATAGCCAATATGTATTATGAAATTCGTACCTTTAGGCCTCCCTGTGAGTATAAACGCTCCTGCATATGTAAGAGAATAGTGGGCACACTGTTTCCTTTTGAATCATAAGAACACTGCATAGAATCTGCTGACACGCCAAACACACTTACACTGCAAGTTTTGATGGTTGAAATCATAAATTAGAAAAAGACTGCAATTCAATTTAGAAAATGCAAAAGCAAGTTCCTGATGGGAAACAGTAAATGGCATTGATCAGTACACACTTGAATTTATGCAAGACAATGTGTAATGTTAATACTGCCCAGACATTCATGATAAGCTAATTTTGCGGCTATCAAAAAGCAACGAAGCACTAGGGGACAATGTCCTCAGACATGTGTAATTGATTAATTGATTAATGAAGCCTTCTCTTTTATACACACAGCGGGAAGAGGGGGGAAAAAACAATGAAGCACATAATGGACATATGCCTCAAACCCAAAACCGGTGCAAGCTTCCTCCTTTAGAACACATTCCAAACCTTTATTTTTTTTAATATAAGCAATAGCATTGAAGGATAATGGCATAATGCACAGCCTAATGTCATTTGACGCATTATCCTGTTAGGCCATTAAGAATCTGGTAGAGCTTGTATTTCTAACCACTGAGGTGCGTTCTTTACAAGCCCTAAAGTTCCTTGAAGTACGAAAGTCACCTTCTTCCTCCCTCTAACTCACACATTCAAACCCACCAATAACCAAAGCTTTCCTTTTTCCACGCCAAAGAGCTGAACTTACAAAGGATGTGAGGCAAAACCCATGTGTAATCTTTGAATAAAATGAAGCAAACCGAACTAGCTGAAGTACCTAGCGCTGGGAACCCGACCCGGGATCTCGATCTCGAACTCAACGGGAAGACCCAGAAAACCATTGAAGCGATCGAAAGTGACATGAGTGATGTGCTGAACATCGGTGGGCCAACCTATTTCCATGTGATGAACAGAGGGGATAACCTCGTCGGGTCGATCCACCCGACACGCCACCATGGACTTCCTCAGAGCCGCCAGAAGGAATGCGACGAGGGACAGCTGGTTCTGCTCTTCTTCGGTGGCAGTTCTTCCTCTCTTGGCTCCCTTCCCTCCGCCGCACCCTCCGCCCTTCGTCACCATCACGAGCCCCGTCATTCCTCTCTCTCTCTTTCTCTCTCTCTCTCTTCTTCAGGAGTGAGAACTGCAGAGATTTTAAATTTGAGGGATGGGTGAGGATTTATGAGTTTTGTTGGGTTGCATTCGAGAGTTTTGAACTTCAAACGGCCATTCATTTCAAATTCTCCTTCAGGGCTCAACTTTATCTACAGTGTGCCGTGTCTTGACACTCATGTCCTTTGGCGCAGGCCTGAATTACCAAATTGCCACTCAACTAGTTCCAACTAACTCAAACTGTCTTTCACAAATTGTCATTACTGTTTCTGGTGCTAGAATATTGGCCCCAAAGTAAAAAATCAAGGATTCGATTAGCCTTAGCTAACGCTCAATGGATACGCTTTACCCCTATAATGTTGTTTATTTTATAATTTTGAATTTGAACGGATGGCATTTTAATTTACAAAACAGGAATTCTTTATTCTTGAATATGGACCACAGCAAGTGTGTTATGATTGCTGCCCGTAAAAAGCATGATAATTTATTATCTCAGGTGAAAGAAAGGTTGGCTCTTCATAAATTCATAAACCAATCATGGATGGTCTTTGTTTCCATAATTAATTAACAATTATTATCCCAGTGTTTTATAACACGTTCATTTAGTAAATTTTGTCAAATTTGTGGAGCAGAATGTTATGGATGACTTGCCGGAACCTACGAGTGCGTTTTTATCTTAAGATTATTCCACGTCTTGGAGGTTAACTGTTCGAAAAAATATATATTATCATGTGCCATGTATTAATTTATGCTATGGGAGGATGTAGATCATGTGCAGTGATTATGGTAAAGTAGATGGAAAGTCAGTTCATCTTATCCATTCATTCATTCTATCTAATGTTTGAGAAATGAGAAGAGAGTAGTGCACATAAAACTTTATCATCTGCAAGGCGCACAAACTTTTTTTGATGCTATTTCATTTGTTTCATCTTCTTCTTGCATGTTCTGCAACCTCTTCTTTTTCTCTATACTTCACTGCAACTGGATGGAGCATCCAGACCCTAGTTGTTGGGCATTCAAAACACTTCACCATCACGCCTAGGAGGAAAGCTAAAGTTGAAATAGCTGCAATTGTTGCTGGAAATTATGCCTCAATTCTAGTCGACATGGAAAGTTTAGTTCCACCATCTCTAGAAAAGGTATGTTTGTAGACACAAAGTAATTCTATAGAGTATAGAAGGAATGATCTCAAGTTTTTTTATTTACGTAACTCATTGATGTTTGTGACTCTTGACAAAATTCAGTTTTGCCATCTCGCACTATACTTCCCTTTTTTTAATCATAAAATTAAAGAGATTATCTCAAGCTTTTTTTATATATAAATCATTGATGTTGGTGACCCTTGACAAAATTCAATAAAAAAGGTTCTTGCCCCTATAATTCTTGATAATGGGCTTATGATATTTTTCTAAAAAGATTATTTCATTAATTAGAATAGGTACGATTTTTGCAAAATATTTACAATGAATTTTATAGATTTTTCATAATTTTTTAGGATTTAAATTGTAAAGTAAACTTTTAATAATTCAAAAAATTCAAAAAATAATTTTACATGGTATGATTTTTTCAAATTATTTAAAATAAAATTTTTTAGATTTATGATAATTTTTTAGGATTTAAATTGAGAAGTAAGTTTTTGGCTGTTAAAATAGAAAAATGAAAACGATTTTGTATTAGGCAGAATATATGTACGATTTTTGCAGAATTATTAAAATAAATTGTTAAGATTTTTCATATCTTTAGTATTTAAATCATGAATTAACTTTTTATTGTAAGGAAAAAAAAATTGTATGCTTTGTAGATAATAAAGTTTTTTGTGTACATCTCCCGTCCTAACTATTAGATGGGATAAGACAACAAGATAGAGCCCACTTTCCATTCACTTTATCATTGTCACTGCACATGATTCATAGCCAATACAGCAAGTATAATTACAATGGAGGAAAAAGATTACATGTGATTTTGCCCCGCAGTGTCATTATAATTATAATTTACTCAGGCATGTGATCTTGTACGCTAAGATCCATGGATTAGCGTTTTTATGAGTCTTGCATGGCGGCATGCAGGGAAATATGTCAGTTTTCGTCCTCTCAGGCGAAAATGTCAAGCTCAAGTGCGTTCCTTGTAAAGATTTAACTATCATCCTGTCATTATCATTCGTAAAAAATCTGTTCAACAGATTGCCTCACCGGACACCGATACACAATATTTGAATGAGTTAAAATGAAAACAGGGGGGTGACATGGACTGCTTTGGTTCATTTGGGGAGGGATGGAGGAGGAGAAGAACTAAATAAGGAGTAAAAACAAATTCCAAGAAAAAAGAAGGTTGGTTGGAAAAAGGGATTAGGAATCGAAATGGAGGAAGACCGTTGGGAAAAGGCGAAGGTGTGGTTGACCAATAAACAGGACGATGTTGATGGAAGTCCCTCATCACTGTGAGCAATGCTTTTTCTGGTTAGGGTCTGAGAATGGAGACATCTTTTGAGCCCCGACCCCAACAACTGTGGGTCCCTTTTATGTCATTCGCGTGATGATAGGAAATACCGCTCCCTTCTTATTTTATCCCTTTTTTATTGTCTTGTATCCCGTCGCCATTCGGATCCCATGCCCCTTCCCTCATCGCACAATTTTCCCTATTTGTCTCCGATGTTGTTAATCGCCATTAGTCAACTATATCATAATTTCGTGTTCTTCAAATATTTTTAGAGACAAATTATGAACATGCCATAGCAGGAGAGTGGAGGCGGATTGGAATTCAGCGTCAAATTAAATGAGATTATATTAAACATACCATTACGGCTCGACCGAACACAATCTCGGTCTACTACTGTCTAGAAGTCCAATACAATTTTATTCTTTTTAGCCCCGTCTCAGGCTACTTCCCAGTGGGATGGGGCACGTGAGGACGTGTTTGTCACTCCAAAATCATGTTTTCTGAATTTTGACTTCGACATAAATGTCTGCAAATTCGTGCTTAGAATTATCCAGAGAGCAGTCCTATTCCAACTATTACGATGACTAAACTCTATGTTCAAAAAATCAAGCTTTTGATGTTGAGGTTTCATGGCTATGTGCAGCGTAGGAGTGTCTTGCGAGGTCTGAGAATTATTATACTCCAATCTTTCAATATATTTCATCATATTACAACAAAAAAAAAACATTAACATATATTATCTAAAAATTTAATAATTTTCAACATGTTCTTATTAAGTATAATATTTTAATAATATATTTTTTTTCCTAATATTTAATAGAAAATAAAAAGAAAAATGTTATGAGTCTTATATTAAGGAACCTCGTAAATGAAGTGAAATTAATAAGTTTAAGAAACTTTTACATCCAACAAAATAGTCATTTGAGATAGATTCTCATTTTAAATCTGAGTACAAAAAACTTATGATAAAGGGGGGATGACTGTTAAGTTCTAAAAGAAAAAATTAATGCCAATTAGGTCCAAAGATGAATCTAGAATTCATCAAATGGGTGGGCTAAAATTGAATTTTTTTTTAAATGTGAGAAGCCACAACTAAAATTTTATTCAAATGTAAAGAGCTAACAATAATTTTTACATTTTTTATAAATAAAATTATATTTTTTTAAAAAAATTTGGAGTGTGGGGAGCCACATCCCTTGCTAGCACCCTCTTAAATTCATCATTGGTTAGGTTCTAATAATTTTTTAAAATAATTAATTATAAATTTAAAAGTTTTAATTGTAAATATGATATTTAAATTTTAAATATAACAATTAATTTATAATTTAAATTTTTATTTATAATTACTTGAATTGATAGTTACAATTTTTTCACAAAAAGTCTAATTAAAAATTTAGTTGTCATTAATTTATTTTTTTTGAAATTTTATTGTTATTATTTTTATGATCAAAAGTCATTGACGTGACTTGTATAAATAAGACAACAAAATTGTTTCCTCTCCAGTTCACAAACATGAGCGGAGGGAGCGTGTGTTGTTAAATATTATATGTAGACAAAGGGGATAAGGGTAGAATAGGGAACATGGGGGGAATAGCATGAGACGATGCGGAAGCAAGAACCTGAGGGGTGAGGAGGGGCTGTACATCATGTGAAATGAGCGTCCGGATTGAATAGAAAGTTAGAAACGAAAAACAGGGAGGGCTAAATGGACATTATGTTGGATGTTTTTTGATGCAGGGACCACACTGGAGGAATCCAATAAGAGATCGGGTACGTGCTCCTGGCTCAACCACATTTCCGTTCACTTCAATTGTTGTGTCTCTCTATTGCAGATTTCAAATGTGTGGATCGTACGAGTGGCTCTCTCCCTCTCACAGCGTGGCTTGAGAGAATCGAATCATCAGTTTGACATGAATTCCCAGAAGAAAAGCGAGAATCTGTGGAGAGGAGGTTGTCTGCTGAGGTGGACCCATTTCCTCCAAAATCAACACACAGGCCCATCTATGGCCCAAACGTTAACTGTTTTATAGTATTTTTTCCTTTCACTTTTCAGGATTCTGTTGTTCCCCCATCCACTTTCCTGCGTTGATTTAAGAAACAAATATCCTATCATTCATGACTTGTCCAGCGTCTCACGGTTTTCATATTATATTCCATTAATTATTAATTGTTGCCCACAACTTCTACAAAGTTTTCTTATCTGGAATATTTTTCTGGGTTTTAGCTCTGCCCCTGTGTAATTAACAAGCCTTTCCCCCTCATTTCATCACTTACAAACAATGTCACTTCTAGTTGTCAAGTGAAAATTTTTCATTAATTAATGAGCTCTTGCAATCTTCACAACCTCGTATATCCCCCACGGCCCCATTCCAAAATTAAAACCTCAAATTCAACTTGGATTTATTCAACATTCAAACAAGTTGCCCCTCCACTCCTTCTAGGCCTAGGAGCCTCCCTTTGCTAATCCTGTTTGTTGGTATATTTTAGTACTGGCGTGTGATCAGTGTTAATCATACATTTGTTAATTGACATCCCTAAAATCTATATAAAAAGGTCATGTATCATTGTGTTGAAGTAAGAAGGTATATTGCGTGTAACCTCATCTCACCTCATGTGGAGTTAGTTTTCCTCACCCTTGAGTTAAGGGATGAATAGTGTGTTGTAAATCC